ATCTGCTGGAACATCATTTCAATTCTACCCATATCATTACCAGAAGAACTAGGACCTTGAGAAGGGACAGGGGTGGATTGTTCGGTTGTTGGTACATTGGGGGCCTTTGAAAGCCTTGCCCCCGGTTACCTTGCTTTCCATTATTGTTCCACCCGCCTTGATTGTTGTTGTTGCCCCAATTGTTGTTTTGATTGTTGTTGTTGCCCCAATTGTTGTTATTTCCATTCCAATTGCCATGATTGTTGTTTTGATTGCCCCAATTGTTGTTTTGATTGTTGTTGTTCCAATTGCCACCACCTTGTTGTTGATTGCCCCAATTTCCTTGGGGTCGCCATTGTTGGTTTGAAGAGTTGCCTCTATTGCCTTGGTAGTTGTTGACATATTGTACCTCTTCACTTTGGTCATCATAACCATCATTTTGACACCCATCATATTTATCAACAAATTGCTCAGAATTTCCTTGATTTTATTGCCTCCTTTGCTTTCTCTTGTTAACAAGCATACTAACACCCTCCATGGAATTCACTTGGCGAGGATTCTGAACTTGTTGCAACTGCGCCTTAGCCAATTGGATCATAGTAGTAGTAATCTCAGGTATCACTTGCCCATGGTCGTGCAATTCCTTGTGCAAATGGATAACCGTAGGGTTACCTTGAGGCACATTTGCTTTACTCTGCCATGCTGAAAAAGTGTCTGTTATTTCATCAAGTACTTCACATGCCTCATCATAAGAAAGCTTTATAAAATTGCCCCCGGCCAGTTGGTTACAAATGCATTGATTTATAGTATTTATGCCCCAGTAGAAGGTTCGTTGGATCATGGCCTTTGTCATATCATTATTTGGGCACTCATTCACCATCGTTCTATACCGCTCCCAAATCTCATGCAAAGGTTCAGTTGGCTCTTGCTTGAAGGCTAATATTTCATCTCCAAGTGTCGCCATATGACTAGGAGAGAAGAATTTGGCAATAAACTTATCTGCCAACTCATCCTAAGTTGTGATGGAATGGTTGGGAAGTCTCTTGAGCCAGTCTAATGCCTTCCCCCGAAGTGAGAACGGGAAAAGTCTCAATCTCAGTGCATCCTCGGATACATTCGTCTGCTTGCTCCCCCAACATGTATCTACGAACCCCTTGAGATGTTTGTAGGCATTTTGATTCGCAGCGCCCGTGAAGTATCCATGCTACTCAAGTAAGGTCAACATCACATTGGTTATCTGAAAGTTGCCCGCCCGGATTCTGGGTGGGACAATAGCACTTGCATAACCCTGGTTCGGAAGTACTCTGGGGGCCACTCTTGGAGGTGGCGGAGGAGGGTCTGGAATATTGTCATTTGGATTCTCATTGGCATTGCGTCCTCTACGTTGTCCTTGAGGTGCAAGAGACATCTCATCTTGCACAAGATAATCTACCTCCTCCCCCCATCACGTTTTCAAGAGGGTCATTAGCGTTGTTTAAAGCCATGTTGGTACCTGAGTAGTGACACAAACAAGTAAGTAACAAAGAAGGAAAGAAGAACAATACACAAAACTAACTAAATAGATAGCCAAAACCGTTAGCTCCCCGGCAACGACGCCAAAAAGTGATCGCAACCTACTCTGCACTGTTAAAAAGTAGGAAGAGAGGGTCGCACTAGCTTTTACCCGATTTGTGGGTCGGGATCGATTTCCACAGGGAGCTAGGAATGGAGTCGAGTATCTATTTAGATTGAGATTGTGTAATTGTTCCAAATATCACTTCCAATCATTTTTGGGTTTTTCTTTAATAATCTACTATTATCAACTACTAATTATAATTGCAACTAGATTAGGCTAAGCGAGAATTGCTACAAGTTGTATCTAATAGATAAAAAGGCACTAGGGTAGTGGCATCCTTCTAGGTGGCCAATTGACGGGTAATTGAACCTAAGGCACAATTTATATGATTGGGGAATATGCTATAACCGTTGCACAATTTTACCCACTCTCACACCTCTCGGTAGAGAGAGTGATTTTGCTCAATTGACTTTCTCAAGACCAATAGGGTAGGCAAATTTGCTCAAGCAACTGGGGTTCAAGTCGGGTATTACTCTCTCGAGGTTTAACCCTTTAATTGAGACTATCAATTCTCTTGAGTCCATCCCAATTCCTTGTTGGGTACATTTTAGAGACTTAAGCTCTCTTTCTCAAGAAGAACCCAAGTCAACTTAGCACAAACTAGTATTTGCAACTACTAATTCATAGATTAAATCATGAAATTGACCCAAATAACAAACACCCATAGTCAATCTTACCTTAAATCACAACACCCATCAATTACCCACACTAGGGTTGAGCCACAACCCTAGCTGATGGATCTAGCTACTCATTCTTGAAGAGAAAAACAGAGAAATAGATGAAGATAAAGATATATTAATTAATTGCTAAGGTAAATACAAAGATTCAATGATAAAAACTAAGTAAAAATGCCAAAAATGGCTAAGAAAAGTCTTCTCATGAGCGCAGCTAATGTCTCATAATATCTGATGCCCTAAAAATGGAAAAAAGGTTCTATTTATACTAAGTTGGACAAAAATGCCCCTGCGGGGTCAGTGCGGACCGCACAAGATGGTGTGCGGCCGCACTAGGCTCTTGACTCTGCAATTTCAACTCTCTAAACCCAGGCTTCGCAGACCATGCAGAATGGACCGCGGCCACGAAGGCTTCCAATGCAGTCCGCGCAGAATGGACTGCAGACCGCATAGGCTTGAACCCTGGCACTTGACATCTCTCTGAACATTGCTTCTGCGGACCGCATGAAATAGTGGTGCGGCTGCGGTGTCTTCAGTGCGGCCCGCACAATATCTACTGCGGCCACACTGCTTTGTTGCCTTCAAATCCAGGTCTCTGAATCTCCCTAGTGCGGACCGCACAAAGTGTACTGCGGCCGCACTAGGCCTGTTTGTCCTAAGTTTGTCTTGTCTTTGGTACTTGTGCAGGTTTCACTCCTTTTGAGCCAATATTTGACATCTCGTCACTTTGTTGACCAACCCTATAATCAAGCACAACTTATGAGCCTTTTGGGACTATTTTGTATGAATTTATAATCAAAGCGTAAGCAAGAAGGAGCATGAAATGCGGGAAAATCCTTAGTTATCACCTCACCCGGCTCAAACCAACCAATTGGAGATCTACACCGCCTCCCATACAAAGCCTCATATGGAGCCATCTGAATACTCGACTGGTAACTGTTGTTATAAGCAAACTCTGTGAGTGGTAGAAACTGATCCCATGACCCTCCAAAATCAATGACACAAGCGTGCAACATGTCCTCTAATATCTGAAGAGTGCGCTTGGACTGCCCGTCCGTTTGAGGATGAAAATTTGTGATCAACTCAACCTGAGTACCCAACTCTCGCTGTACAGACCTCCAAAATTGTGAAGTAAACTGAGTGCCCCTATCTGAAATGATGGAAACTGGGACACCATGCAAACGAACAATCTCCCGGATATAGATCTCTGCCAACCGCTCTAAAGAATAGGTAGCACATACAGGAATGAAGTGCGGGGACTTGGTCAGCCAATCCATAATCACCCAAATAGCATCAAACTTCTTCAAAGTCCATCGGAGCCCAACTACAAAGTCCGTGGTGATCCGCTCCCACTTCCACTCTGGAATATCCATTTGCTAAAGCAAGCCACCCGATCTCTGATGCTCATATTTCAACTGCTGACAATTGAGACACCGAGCTACAAATCCCATAATGTCCTTCTTCATTCTCCTCCACCAATAATGCTGTCTCAAATCTTGATACATCTTTGCGGCACCCGGATGAATGGAATACCGCGAGTTATGGGCCTCATCCATAATCAACTCCTGAAGTCCATCTACATTGGGCACACATATCCAGCCCTGCATCATCAATACCCCATCATCACCAATATTCACGTCTCTGGCATCGTCGTGCTGAATGATCGAGGCCAACCCTGTACTACTAATGAGTAGCAAGAGAGGTCGAAGAAGCTTTTACCCGAGAAGGTCAGGATCGATTTCCACAGGGAGCTAGATATTGGAGTTGAGTTTCTATCTAAAGTGGAGTTGTGTATTTGTTCCTAATTGCACTTCTAAACATTTTTGGGTTTGATATTAATCCTAATTTTATAATACTACAATGCTAAATTAGGCTAAGTAAAGCTAAGATTAAACTGTTGCAAGTTGTGCAAATAGATAAAAGGCACTAGGGTAGTGACTTTCTCCTAGGTGGCTAATTGACAGATTCTTGAGTCTAAGGCTAGATTTGTCACATTTAGAGAATATGATATTACCATTGCATGATTCTACTCACTCTACACCTCTCGGTGGTTCGAGTGATTTTGCCCGAATCGACTTTCTCAAGACCAATTGGGTATGCAAATTTGTGCAAGCAATCAAGGTTCAAGTCGGGTATTACTATCTCTAGGTTTAACCCTTTAATTGGGGCTATCAATCTCTTGAATATGCCCCAATTTCTTGTTGGACTAATTTCATGGACTTAGGCTCTCTTTCTCAAGAAGAGCCAAAGTCTACTAGGCATAAACTAGTGTTTGCAACCACTAATTCCACATTAAAACCCTAAATAAGCCCAAATATCAAACACTCATAGATAATCAAGCATCAAAATACAAGATCCATCAATTATCCACACTAGGGTTGACCCACAACCCTAGCTAATGGGTCTAGCTACTCATAATTAGAGAAGAAAATAAAGCAATAGATGAAGAAAAGCCCATAATAATTAATTGCTAAATAAAATTTGAAAATTCAATGTTGAAACTAAGCTAAAATTACTCAAAATAGTAAAAGGAATGTGTTCACGAGCGCAGCTCTACGTCCAAAACTATCTGAGTCCGTAAAAATATTGAGGAGAAGAGTGTCCAATCAAGTAAACTAATTAATAAGAAGGCCGGCCCATTACAGAAAGTCCAGACCCAAAAATATGGGTCTTATTCAGATGGAACGGAGTCCAGTCCCGTCCCAACTAAAAACGCAACTAGCTAGTTAGTTTCTCCCTCATCGGCAATGAAAGAAACTTTCTTTAGTTTATCTATCAAAACCCTAGAGCTAAGTTCGTCCCTTCGGGGACATCCGATAAAATTGGAACGATACAGAGAAGATTAGCATGGCCCCTGCGCAAGGATGACACGCACAAATCGAGAAATGGTCCAAATTTTTTTCCCCCATTTTTTCGGTTCTTCGGAGCTCCATTTTCGTGGATTTTGCTTTTTCACTCATCTTATTCAGTTGAAATCTCTAAACTGAGGTCAGTTTCCATTTATTAAGTAGAGTTTTCTGCAATTTCAGTTTCTGAAGTGCATTCCTTTGGTGTGCCATTTTTGGGTCCTGGAAGATTTAGGTCAAATGGCATTATCCCAAAGGTTTTATCGTTTGGAAATTATATGCCAGTTTACATGTCAAATAGTTTTTGAAATTGGGTAAATTAGTGTTTTGAACATTTAATTTAACAGTTAATCAGAAGAATTTTGAAGAACATTTGTGTTGTTTGGTGTTGGAAATTAAAGCATTGAAACTTTCTGTTTATAATTTCTCTTGCTTACGTTGCTAAATTTTTTTTTTTTAATAAAAAAAATAGGAGAAAATAATTTCTCTTGCTTACCTAGTTTTAGGCAAATTGCATACAAATTGGAAAGAGGGAAATGGATATGCATAAGCAAGTATGTCTAAGGCTTTTGCTCTTCATTCTGCCTTGAACACCTATGCCATATGTGTATAATATGATTGTGCATCATATGTATAAATGATTTAAGTATATTTTATTTGATTCTTTAAATTATACAGTAGAACTCTACTAGAACTTCAATATCCACCTCCGATCTACACCAGCTAAAGAATTACCGTCTCTTGCGCTATTTTGAGGCAAAATGGCTGTTACTGAATGTTCAATCAGTGGACAAGAACTTGACTGGAACTTTGGTAGCTAAATGGAAGCGCAGTGGAAAAAGGCTTCCTAAGAAGCCAGCTTGGGCTTGTTGACTTTGCCAAACAAATAGTTTGTGAGTCAGGAAAACGGACACGGGGACTCAGGTCGGGGGTGCGACATAACTAAGAGAGACAGAGTCATTCCATTTATGGCGAGACAAAATGCACGGGCACAGACGTTGCCAGTTAATTAGATTTGTCATGGTTCAAAAAATAGGGAGAAGAACCATGAACACCAGGGTTAAAGGAGCCTGAGCTAAATAGAGCTGTAGTGAGAGAATGCTGACTTCCTAATCCTTCCCCGTCGCCGGTTTATGGGAGTTTCCTAAGAGGAGCTAGGATTATTTGGAACCTTAAACAAGGAGTTATTTAAGCTTTCAACCAAAGCAGCTGTAGGCCTATGCAAAGAGTTTATTAATCTCAACCTGGAGTTTCATGCTTGAGATTCTTTAAAAATGTTACTAGAAACTAAAGTCCCGAACGAGTTTGGTAAACGTGCTAATTCAAAACTCAAGAATCTGTGTTAATGGTTGGTATGTTTTTTAGAGCCCACCATAAAAATCATATCAACCATAAAAACAGGTTCTTGAGTTTATGGCAGAAGAAGTCGAGCCCAATCAGATGTATATCTTCTCTATTTTTTTGGAGTAACACAGCTATATTAAATTATAGCTAAGAGAGACAGAGTCATTCCATTTATGGCGAGACAAAATGCACGGGCACAGACGTTGCCAGTTAATTAGATTTGTCATGGTTCAAGAAATAGGGAGAAGAACCATGAACACCAGGGTTAAAGGAGCCTGAACTAAATAGAGCTGTAGTGAGAGAATGCTGACTTCCTAATCCTTCCCCGTCGCCGGTTTATGGGAGTTTCCTAAGAGGAGCTAGGATTATTTGGAACGTTAAACAAGGAGTTATTTAAGCTTTCAACCAAAGCAGCTGTAGGCAGAGTTATGCAAAGAGTTTATTAATCTCAACCTGGAGTTTCATGCTTGAGATTCTTTAAAAAATATTACTAGAAACTAAAGTCCCGAACGAGTTTGGTAAACGTGCTAATTCAAAACTCAAGAATCTGTGTTAATGGTTGGTATGTTTTTTAGAGCCCACCATAAAAATCATATCAACCATAAAAACAGGTTCTTGAGTTTATGGCAGAAGAAGTCGAGCCCAATCAGATGTATATCTTCTCTATTTTTTTGGAGTAACACAGCTATATTAAATTATGTAGGTGCCATGATTGACTTTCTTAGCTCATTACACATTTCGTAATTGTAGCCCTCTTGTAATTACTTAACAGCACACTCTTGTTGCTGAGATCTATGTACTTACTCTTTTAAAAATCAAAACGAATTTGAGGCCAATACATGCGTCCATCTATAGCAATGGATTTTGTGGAAACTACTAGCAATGCTAGAGTTTGGAGCTTCTGTTAGATTTTTATTTTGCCTCAATAGTATGTGTGCGCACATGTGTTTAAACTACTTCACGAAGTCATACACCAATTACGCACCGGAGAACAACTCGTGGATTTGTGAAAATTATCTTTGTTAATCAGTGAAATAGTTCTCTCTCTGCGGCAATGTTTTAATGTCCTTGCTGAATCAATTAATTTAAGAAGACTGGGATTGGCATCTAACTTGTAAAATGTGGAATTTCCTTCATAGACCATCACATTTTAGACTCTACTGCATAATCTTTCATGACTCCACTTTCGTCATACTTCAATTCGAACCGAAGATTTCTTCTGTTTATCTAGCTAGTTGTCCCATCCCAACCAAAAACCCCAACCAACTAGTTGTCCCTCATCAGCTATAAAAAAAAGTTTTCTTCTGTTTATCTACCAAAACCCTAATAGCTAGGTTCGTCTCTTCGGGAACATCCGATAAAATTGGAATGACACAAAGAAGATTAGCCTGATCCCTGCGCAAGGATGATATACACAAATCGAGAAATGGTCCAAATAATTTTTTTGACATTTTTCCAGAGCTCCGTTTTCGTGGGTTTGATTTTTTACTCATCTTATTCATTGAAATCTCTAACATGAGGTCAGTTTCCATTTTTTGTTTTTGTGTATGTTATATGCTTCTTAATTGCTTTAGAAATAGTGATTAGAATGTCGTGAATTTTTAGTTTCTAAAGTGCATTAGGAAGATTGTATTTGAGGTTAGTTTCCATTGTTTTGGGTTTTGTTGTGTATGTTAAAGCCTCTTACTTTACAAAGAGTGATTAGTCTATTGTGAAATTTTAGTTTCCAAAGTGCATTATGAAGATTGTATTTGAGTTTTTCTTTTTCTTTTGGCGAGCAATTTTGTGCATGGAAGATCTAGGTCCAAATGTCAAAGGTTTTCTCTTTTCTAAACTATGTCATGTCAAATACTTCCTGAAATTGAATAAAATCCGTGACGGCCTGTTGTGAACATATTCTTTAACATTTAAAGAAGGAAGTGTAAAGTTGTGAAAAATATTTGTGTTATTTGGTGTTGGAAATTAAAAGTAATGAAGGCAACGTAAAGGCTGGCTTCTGTTGGATAATGACTCTATTATACCTCCAAGAGGTGTGGTGGGATCAATAGGATCTCTTCACCCTTAACCAGATGCTTGGGGTTCGAGCGCTTCCCCCTTTTTATAGGCCTTACGCGACCCAAAATTGGACAGAGATTCATGTGTTTTGTTACTTTGTGATTAGATTGCGTGATTACATTCTCAATTTACTGTCGGAAGTTTGTGTGATCCGTTCTAGTGGATGTGATGTTGTATCATCATCTTGGTGGCAGCTTAGATTGAGTTTGATTAGAAAAAAAGGTATCCTTACTACTCTAAACGAACTAATTTTTTTTTCCAGCAAAAAATTGGATCAAGTAAACCAACAGGAACATAGTTCTTCCAGTTTTCATGTGGTTTTAGTAACTATTAAAACTTAAACTCATAATTCAGTGTTGATTATTTGCAACTGAAACAAATTGCTTGAAGATGCAACCAAGTCTAATTGGTGTATATTCTAAGAGGTATAATCCTTGCCTAGCCACTGCTTCTTATCACCTTTTCTTCCACCGAAGGTATATCAGAAATAACCTCTTTGCCTTCCCAGGGTAGGGGCAAGGCTGCATACATCCGACACTCCCCAGACCCCACTTGTGGGAATTCACTAGGTTTGTTGTTTTTGTTATTGTTGTATAATCGTTGCCTTGCCCTCTGTAGCTGATTTGATACAATTCAGAGAGTTCTTATTCTACTAAGCAATCTTTCCTGACCACTTACTTTTGGGCATTTTTTCCTGTCAGTTCTCATGAGTATTGAGTGTCTTCTCAAGGTCTTTTAATTTTATAAGCTTCTTTCACTCTGTTAATAATCACTGTTAGGCAGGTATGTGAATCGCAGGAATTGATTCTTGAGGAGATGAAAGCAAAGACTGATTTTGCTTGCTCTAAAGTCATTATAAATTGAATCTAGAAAAGGATAGGACATTGAATGAGGATCAATGATCCAGATAATAGGAATCTTCTGCACTGAAACTTTTAAGGCATTCGCTGATCAATCTCTTTTTTTTTTCCTGAGTAAATTTCATCTAATAGAAGATGGCTAAGCCTCTTTTGTGCAATTGACATTTTTTTTAAAGGAGATATGTGTGTACGTATATGCTTGTAGTTAAGTCGAGTTTCAAAATGTAGCATTTAGGAATTTGTAAGCATTTGCAGATTTTGGCTATTGTTAAGAAATCAAAATTGCTTTCGTTTTGCTTGTTGGTTCCTTGATTGGTCTTTATCTTCTGCAGATTCATTTTTGCACAGTAAGAATTGGCAGAAAGGTTTTTCTATAATCAGAGAAGTACAGAAAATTGCATATTATATGGTCCCGCAGTGTATATTCTTCGGGGTACTCAGGCTTCCCTGATGTGCTCTTACAATGCATAGGGAAAATTTTCACTCTTAACATTATCAAGGTCCAAAGGGAACACATGGTTCATTTGCTCCAAAGAAAGTCTCCACGCAAGTTTTGATACCTTGAACATTTGACGGCTGGATAAGTGTTAAAGTAATCACTGGTAAGTAATCCCTCACTATTTCTATGGAAACTTTGAGAAGAAAGGATTTGGTATGGTTTTTCAAGGGATAAAAGATACAATATGTGATATCTGATGTCTTTCTTGTTCAAGGTCGTTAACCACAATGTTTACTCCAGCATTGCACTCTTTTGTTTTCCTAACTTGCTTGGGATTGAAACGTATTTCTAGTTGTTTAATTGCTCTTCTTTTGTTGAATATATTTAATTCATCAGAATGGATGGGCATATTTGCAAAGATAGTAATCACTTTTTAGGCAAATTGTATACAAATGGCAAAGGGGGAAATGAATATAATAAGTGGGCGTTTGGACATAAGAATTATAAAATATTAAAAAATAAAAAGTGAAAATGGTATTTGAAAATTAGAGTTGTGTTTGGACATGAATATAATTTTGGGTTGCTTTTGAATTTTTGTGAGTAATCTGAGTGAAAAATTTAAAAAATAGTTTTTTGGAGTTTTTCAAATTTTCGAAAAATTTCAAAATTCATCTTCAAGTGAAATTTTTTCGAAAAGAAGTGAAAAAATCTTATGTACAAACGGGCTCTAAGGATCTCGATAAATCTCAACAGGTTGGATCCCCATCTAACCTACTCCATAACCTATAGCTAAGTGACTATACGCCATTTATGCTGCCGATGCAAAATGAACATTAGGACCCCAATTGTCTCACTAATGATTCTTCACTGCCCCCCTAGACAATTTCTCGTTCAGCTCTATAGTACTTGGTTGAGGGTCCGTGAGGAATCAATAATGAGATGAATAGGGTCCGAAATTTCATATTGCTTAATCAAAATTTTTAACCACAGAGGCTTTCTCAAAAATTAATTATATTTAGTAAAAATTTTCGACAAAGCGGTGGTGCGGGACACCGCTTTGTTGAACGTGCATCCATTCCTGATTTTCAAGGACTAGTAATTCGTGTTGGGTTGTTGCAGATGATCCGCTTCCGCTAAAGAGGAATCCGTAAGTCTCCTAGCTAGTTTATAATATACATGTTCTCCAACCACCATCAACTGCCATGTTGAATGCATGCGTATTGTTGTTGGAAGAAAGTAGTTCAGAGCTCTATTTTCTTGTGTGTTTTTTTTCACTCAAATTCTGTTAGGTTAAATCTCCAACATGAGGTTAGTCTCGGTATATATGGTCTTTCTTAGAATGACCTTTTGTTTATGTACATGTTAATAGCTTTTGGTTTTAAAAATATTGACTAGAGTCTTCTGAAATTTTAGTTTCTAAAGCTGCTTTTGAAGATTGTAATGAGCTTCCTTTGGTCTGCAATTTGACAAGAGTCATGCGTTTCGCTATTTTGTTATTACGTTGTGCAATTACATGCTGAAGTACTGTCTGAAGTTTGTTGTTTTCGTTAATCTTCATCTGTTGGCAATTCTGTCTATTGGCAAAAGCAAATATTTCTAAAAATGCTCAATTGTCAGACATCTGGTTTAGCACCTCGGTTGCACCCACTTATTACTGGTGCACTATTTGAGACAAGGGATGATGAGGGTAAAACACTTACTTTTGTCCATCAACAAGATTAAAAATATGTGTTTCTCCCTTAGAATCCTTGGTCTCAAAAAAGTGCATTGGAAAATATGTGGGTGCGACCGAGGTGCTAAGGCAATTGTGTGACAATTGAACATTCTTTGAGCACGTTTGGATTGGCTTAAAAAAGTGGCTTAATCAGCAAAAATAGCTTTTAAGCCAAAAAATAATAAGTTGGGGTTGCCCAGCTTATTGCTTTTGTCTTGTTTTAAGCAGTTTTTGACTTATTTTACTCTTTTTGACTGCCAAAACACCGGAAAAAACTAAAAAGAGCTTAAAAGCTGATTTGACTAGCTTAAAAGCCAATCCAAGCATCCTCTTAGAGATATTTGTGTTTGCCTATTGACACGGCTATTGCAAATGACATAGAAGCCATGATAGGCCTTTTGAGTTCTTTACACTTGCAACAGTGAGCATCTTTTTCTAAATACTTCTGCAGCACCTTATTGGAGGGACTAAAGCAAAGCCTGATTATGCTCGCGAATGTGGATCTTGATAATGGGACTTTCAAGGCAATCGCTGATCAATCGCTTTGCTGAGTAAATTCCATTTAATAGAACATGGGTACGTCTCTTTTGTGTAAAAGGCCTTTTTTTATGATGAGTACAGTACAGTTGAGTGTCTAAAATTTAGCATTTATAAATTTGTAACCATATGCAGTTTTTGTACTGTCAAGAAATCACATTTTATTAGTTGGTTCCTTGTCTGGTCTTTATCATCTGCTGATCCATATTTGCATAGACTGGAATTGGCAGAAGGTTTTTCCATAATCAGAAGAGCTTGCTGCACATCTATAACAGTTGTTAGTGCTGAGTTTTAGATAGTGAATTGAGGCTACCTGGACAATAGATACTTTCATTAGTTTAATAATCTGTTTTAATTTTTACTTGTGTCACTAGCTACTTGCTTTTACCATTATTACATGATTTTGTTACTGAATCATGAGAGATATTTAGTGGTCAATGCTTCAGTTTCTCTTGAAAAATCTGCAATCTCTTGACCTTATGTTTTGCGTTTGCCTTAGGCCATTAGAAGCAGCTACTGGCAAAATACCATGAATCAGTTCGTGGTAGGGGTGGGCATAGTTTGGGCAAACTCAAATCCAAACTAAAATCCGATTTTTTTTGAATTTTTGGTTTGGATTTTCGGATTACGGATTGAATTTTGGATTTCAGATGGGATATTAGATTTGGTACTTCAAATTTTTGGATATCCGAAAATCCGAAATTCTTATACTTTATATTTAGTCTATTATCCATATGTCAATAAGTAATAAGTTGAATACCCTGTCCCTTAGATATTATTTCATATATTTAATATTAATTACTAAGTTACTGTGAGAATACTTTCTATTTGGATATGATTTTACTATTTCTACTTCTTATTGGCCGTATTAATGTCTCTATAGTACTTTTTTGATAATAATTTCATTACTTGAATACTTTATTTGGATGATTGTGTTGAGAGTGAGAAACTTTTCAGGCAATTTAACATGAGTACTTTATTTGAATATTTATTTTTGTAAAAAGAAGAAACATCTCAACTTATAAGGTTAAAACCGAAAATCCAAAATATCCAAGCTGATTAATCTGAAACTGAACTTAAAAAATTCGATCCAATTCGAGCTTATTTGGATTGGATTTAGATTGTAAATTCTCTAATCCGAAAAGCAAAAATCCAAACTGAAATTTTTATATGCAACCGAACGCCCAGCCCTAGGTCGTGGCACATGAAAGATAAATTGCTGCAGAACAGGTACTCTTCTTTGGGTGACATTAATATAATTTGTTTTCTCGTTTATTTGTGTATACCACAATATGGTTCATTGTTTGCTCCTCGTTAGAGAATTCTTTGCAGATTTTCTTGATGGTTTACAGCTAACTAATGAATCCATTTGTTTCTGGTAAAACATTTTTTAAAATGTTTGATTGTATGAAAACAATTGAAATTCCTCTCTTGTGTTGTTTCAAGAAGATAAATTATTTGCCATGTCTTTGCAAATATTTCTCAGTTGTTTTAACATGCCCACAGAAATCTATCATCCATAAGAAAATTCACATATTTTTTTTGAGTAAGCATAAGGAAATTCTCAGTTTCCCCATGTTTTATACAAAAAAAAAAAAAAAATTGCTTTGAAAATTTGGTAAGCTAAAAAGAAATCTAACTTGCCAACCCTTTTACCCTAAAGGGGTTTCCTCTGCTTTCCAATTATAATATTTTAGGCTTTTAGAGTTACCTGGTACCTGTTGTTGGTGTGAGGTAGCAGGTATTCCGTAAAATTAGTCGAGGTACACATAAGCTGGCCGAACACTACTGTTATAAAAATTAAAAAATTAGGCTACATCCGTTGGCGTTAAGAATTCAAACTCAGCTTCTCATCCTGGGCTACTAAACACCTCCAAGCAGCTTGCCTCGGCCTCTGTTACTCTTAAGTTATCGCACTTTACAACCATTTGAATTTTTATTGTCGCTATTAAATAAATTTTCGTCTTGACAATATTCACACCAAGGTAATTGTAGTAAAAAGTGTTTTACATCCCACCCATACCAAAGGAAGACAAACCTTAATGTGAGAATAATTGGGTTCACACAAAACTGAGAAACAACAACAACAGTCCAGTATAATCCCACAAGTGGGGTATGGGGAGGGTAATATGTACAAAATTGAGAAACGATCACCAAATTTCATGAGAACAATGATTTTTTTAATGGAATTTCTTTATAAGTTAAAATTGGAAAAAGACAACAAACTGACAATTTTTCTTGCATCAAAACCAATGAAAGTTTCTTCAATCTGGCCAACTGAACTACAGTTGAATTTGACAGAAATAGAAATTTGATCTTCTTGATTAGATGATCAAATGAGAGACTCAATTATTTGAGTTGGTAATTAAATAAGTCTTGGCAGATTTAATGACAGTCTGCAGTGGCTCAACCATGGTAAATGCATGGTTTGCAAGGTTCACATCTTCCACTTCATAACTCACTGTAAATTTTGTAATACATGACTTTTCATCTTTCTCAATCACCTCAAACCGAATTCCATAAAAGATATAGCCAAGATCAACATATCCACCTTCAATTACCTCAGACTGCTTGTATCTTTTCTCATCATCCACTATATTGAGTCTCTCCTTGAAATAGGGTATTCCTGGTGTACCTATGTTTAAAAAAATGACAATAATCAATATAATACGAGTTTAACGTTGAAACTTTCATTGGGAGTGCGATCCTCCTAATGAACTTGATCGTACCCTAAATTGATACAGGTGAACAAGTAGATTATACTAAAGCGCTTGAGAGAATCATGTCGAGTTATATGCTACCTAGTAATTTACAACCACCACTCTATCTAGCCAAGGGAATTTGTTTTTTTTTTTTTAAAAAAAGGCAGCCCGGTGCACTAAGCTCCTGCTATACGTGGGGTCTGGAGAAAGGCAAGACCACAAGGGTGTATAGTACGCAGCTTTACCATGCATCTCTGCAGGAGGCTGTTTCCACGACTCGAACCCGTGATCTCCTGGTCATATGGCAGCAACTTTACTAGTTACGTCAGGGCTCCCCTTCAGCCACGGGAATTTGGTATCCGCATTTTTTTTCCCGAGCTTGTACCTAATCTTGAAAGTTGAGTTTCTTTATATGCATTAAAGGGCAGCCTGGTGCACAAGGCATCCTGCGTTCACACAGGGTTCGGAAAACGGTCGCACCTTAAGAGGTGTGCTATAGACAGTCTAATCTAATGCGAGCATTACTGTCTATATCTAAGAAAATATGTAATTATCACATCAAAATTAGGGAAACTATATCCCAAAACCATAGGATGGGTTTAATTTTACCTTGAGGAAAAGTGATTTTGAGTACAGTTCCAGTACTACCATCACCTTCAATTACATCAACTTTGTCAAGAAGAGTAGGCAACTCTTGCACAATAAACCTAGATAGATGTAACGTGCCATAGAGTTCCCATGCTACATTTGCAGGCACATTCACCTCTATTTCGTCGGAAATCGTCCCCTTCATACTCCTAACGGCGGTAATAATGGTGGAGCACGGAGGTGATGGCGGTGCAGAATTTCTTAGTAAGAAAATAGTTCGTAAAGAGATGTTATATATGAACTTGTTGTTATGTTAGTTTTAGTTCTTATAATAATGGTATTTATAGTGGAACATTTAGGTATAGAGATAGCTAGTACTTATTTGTCATGAGGATTTTTGAAGTCTAAGTGAAATTTACTTAGAAATCTGTCACTGGCTGCATTAGCACGAGGTTGAATTTGAGCACAAAACGTTGAGAGGAAAGGGAAATTCCAATAATCCCATCTTGGCTGCTGGAAAATATGCAAGTATAAAGTTGGCTGTGACACATAGTAAAGGTAAATTGCAAAAATTCCGTCTTGGCTGCTAGAATATAAGAACAAAAATGGGCAAGAATTTACGCTTGGTGTCGTCCAAATTTTATTTTGGGAAAATGACACTTTGTAGTCTCTCTCAAAGTAATAGCCGAAAAATGTGTATATATATATATATATATATATATATATATATATATATATATATATATATTCTGTATGTTATAAACAAAAATTATACGTATTTGATACACTTTTTTGGGTAATGAATGTAAATAGTTTCTGGCATGGTCTAAAAGTGATAATATCCTTTTATTTTTGCGTGGCTAGTTCTTCCGTCCCAAATTATATGTCAAATTTCGTTTATTGAGATTCAGACTATTTGAATTTTGATCAATATTTTAAAATGTATTTTTTCATCATATTGACATGAGAAGAATTACAATTTCTAGTACTTTTCTTATGATTTTTTAATATCAAAATTTTAGTTAAAAAATTTAAGTTGATCTAATTTAATTTAATTTCAAAAATGAGTCAAATTGACTCATGAAAATTAAAAAAAAAATGACATATTTTGGAATAGAGGTAGTATTTCTCAATTATATTTCAAATGGTGGCTAAATATTAACAAAATTTTGTACACTAGAATTAGATCACGTGGCTTCCAATGCTGCGGTTGATGGGTGAAGCGAGACTTCTCTTAGTCAACAGTGGGGTGGAAAAGGGACTGCTCGAATCAGATATGAAGTCGAAAATGGATAATGTAAAAATAAATAAATTATTTTATTTGATTCATATTTAATACGGATAAAATAATGGGTTCAGATAATACAGATATCCAATCCATGGCTTCTTGAATTATTACTTTTGGGAGAATTCCTTGTCTCCCAAATTTAAAAAATTCTCAATTTGAATCTTTACAAATATTAAACCTATTGGTTATCCAATTTTTAAGTGGATAATATGAATCTTATCCATATTTGAGTTATTTTTAAAAAGTTCATTATCCAACCTATTTTTTTATTGGATAAGGGGTACTGCAGAACATGTGCGAGCACCATCTAACTACAACAACAACAACAACAACAACAACAACAATCCAGTATAATCCCACTTAGTGAGGTCTGGGGAGGGTAGTGTGTACGCAGACCTTACCCCTACCCTAGGGTAGAGAGACTGTTTCCAAATAGACTCCCGACATCCTTCCCTCCAAGAACTTTCCCACCTTGCTCTTGGGGAGACTCGAACTCACAACCTCTCGGTTAGAAGTGGGGGTTGCTTACCATCATAGCAACATCTAACTGAAAAATCAAATTCAATGAGGATTTGATTCATCCAACGGGAATCCCTCCTTTCAAGCCTGCCCCACTAATGTATTAACAATGATACCTTGGGATGATTGTAAGGCTAAACAAATTGCTTCTGCTTCACCAACAGAGGAATGTGTTGGTTATAAGATATGTGAATCCGCCCTGTCAAACAGATTTCTTGAGTATCCGAATTTATTTATGTGGATAACTGTTTTTCTTATTTATTTCACCATCACTAGTCAACAATAGTTTTTGAAAAGATATAAACTTGTTAAACGTT